ACATACTAGCATTGGAACAAACACTATAACAGTTGATTAGTTTATTTTTGACAAAACATACTATATATTTAACATATGAGCAGAAACTGTCTAACAAAAGCTTATTTGATGTCTATTTTAGAGTAAAAACTTTATAATCTATCCAAAACTAGTCAACGAAATGTTGTCTTTCATATTTCGTCTGTAACAGTGCGCATCTGTGCGTTCATTCATTCAGTCACACACAGACACACACAGATCAAATTTAACCCTCTGGGGTCGGCTATCGCGCAGGCGCGACAAGCTCACTTTTTTCCTTATCAGTGCAAAAGAGACTCAAATTACTCTGTTGGTTTTGATCTTACATATAAGTGTTGTACATCATTAGATCCTGTTAAGTGTCTATTTTTTTGTGGATACTCACAATAAAAACAAAGTGTTGTGCTTTTTGTCAAATAAAGAAAAATAAACATGATGCGAATTTTGCCTTCTGTCAGTGAAGTTCATTCTGAAACGCGTCCGAAAATGAACTGTAACTCAGTAAATACTTGTCACACAGGCGTGAAAGATTTTTCATTATGAAGCTGAAATTATCTTCTTTTAAATTGAGAATATTTGTTTTTTATATAAATTACTTTATGTAATCTGTATGAAAAGAGAGATATGTCAATCTTTTTCCTTTCACCTAATTATAGCTTATAACGTGTTAATGTGACACGCCCACTGAGAGCACACGCTATTCAAACGGAAATTTTGAGGCAAGCCATGAAAACGCCCACATCAGCTGGATAAAACATCCAGTTTAATAAGAATCTTGTACTTTACCTCGTCTTGCTGTGCTGTGAGGAATAATACTATCGTAATAATCCTGGAAAAGTTACATCAGTTTTGTCACCTGTGTTGTGCATCACCTCAACATCACCGGCCAGCCTCCTGGAGATGTGATGCCAGCTGTGCCAACAGTGCCAACAGTGCCACATCTTCAATCTCCAATAGAACCTGAAACAAAGAAATCACTGTTTATACATAGTTTCTGCACTGTAATAATATCCATTTCACAATATCAAAATGTAGATTTACTGAAATGACCATTTTATTCAACTTATGCAAACTTGGGAACTATTGTACTTTCCATATCCAAAACATTTGACATTTATTTTCAAATAATAGTTTATCAGTTTGGTTGCTGTGCTTTCACATTTCAAATTAACAATAACTTTATGTTGGTAAAAATGTATATAAACATTGTAAATGTTGAAAACCCATAGGGTGTACGTAACTTACCCAAACGCAGTCTTGAGAATGCGCACTCTCCAAACTTCTCCAAATGGTCCATTTACAAACCAGTTGCACCTCCAAAGATCGCTTTTATCAATGCCATTGATGCTTTTATCTTTCTAGATGCAATTATAGAAATCAAAACAGTTCATAAATTATAATAACACACGCGAACTCGCAGATGGATAGATGCCAGTTCGCTTTGTCAACAGAGAGTGGTCACCCGGAAGTGATCCACGGAGCGACCTCCGTGTCGACAGGAATCCCGTCTTTTGAAAGGTCCGTCTGAAATGTGACGCGAGCTTAGTTCCTTTTAGATCTATACACTATCTGTATTGCCTTTAACAGTAGCAAAGCTAAGGCTAGGTGCTTTTGTGTAGATGACTTGGAGATTCGGTGTCTTGTCTGCTCTCAGTTCATTCGAAAAGCTTTTTCTTAACAACGAAAGCTCACAGAAACGTGAAAATGATCTCATTTGAAAGATAACATCCTAAGCTAAAAGGTGATATAGATTATGTGGCTGTTTGTGGCTCACTGAAGCCGACATCGGAGCAGGAATGTGATACTTTTATCTGTCACCTCTGTTTGATTTTATTTCACTGCGCGATTATTTTGAAGATATTTCGATCTATGATTGTCTCGCAATGTAATAACCTACATTGTCAAATTCCTTAGAATGAGAGCTTTATTGTAATATATGATTTGACTGTTTTGTGAAATATATAAAAAATAAATATTTGTAGAAATATTTCTTCGCAATCATAAAGCGCAAATATTTGCCTGGGACCAATGCATATTTAAGCTAATATTTCATTTGATATGTATCATAAAACCGAAAGTGATGGTATTCGTTGTAAAGTATAGATTCTAAGATTTCAAAAGATACCAAGCATTGGGTGATACCTTATAGGGAAGCCTATAAAAAGAACGTACGAACATCATAAAAAACATTTTCTGACCCGGGATCGTGAATTTTAAGTAGTTAAATAATTTGAGACCCATTGCTTTGACGTCACAAATAATGAAATGTTTTGAGAGGATTTTCCTTGGTTATCTGGGTAGACAGTTGTCAGATTTTCACGATCCGTTACAGTTTGCATATCGAAAAGGTGTGGGAGTAGATGATGCCATACTTTTTATGTTGCATAATATTTATAATCATTTGGAAACAACTTCTAGTTCTGTTAGGATTATGTTTTTTGATTTTTCTAGTGCCTTTAACACAATTCAACCTCATGTTTTAGCTGATAAATTGCTGCGTTGTAACCTACATAGTAAAACTATTATGTGGGTATTGAATTATCATATACGTCGACACCAGTTTGTTAGGCTGGGTGATAAAATGCCTGACATTATTTTAACTAAAACAGCAGCCCCTCAAAGCACAGTTTATCACCTTTTCTTTTTTCTTTGTATACAGCTGACTACAGGCACACTCAAAATTCATGTTGTATACAAAAGTTTTCGGATGATACTGCCCTTGTGGGTTTAATTAATCAAGGCAACGATGTGGACTATAGAAGAGAGGTTGAGTTATTTGTTAGATGGTGTGATGAAAATTTCTTAAAATTGAATGTGGAGAAGACTAAGGTTTTGATCATTGATTTTAGAAGAAAAAAAGAAGTGATAGAACCAGTGATTAATAACGGTCAGAAAGTAGAGATTGTTCAGTCTTATAAATATCTTGGTGTCCATTTGGACAGTAAACTGAACTGGAAGAAGAATAGTGAGGCTGTTTTTAAGAAGGCGCAATCAAGACTATTCTTTCTGAGGAAGTTGAGTTCTATTGGAGTAAGTAGGAAGCTTCTTTATGTTTTTTTTAATCAGGGAATCATAGCTAGTGTTTTGTTTTATGCAGTGCTCTGTTGGGGATGTAGCATCACTGTAGATGATAGAAATAGGATTAATAAATTGATTAGAAACTCAGCCTCGGTAATTGGCCTTAATCCTTATTCACTTGAGATTACTGTGGAAAAGAGAACAAGGGCAAAATTAAAAAAAATATTATGTGTTACGAAGGTCATCCACTACATTGTACCTTTAGTGGACTTAGGAGCTCATTTAGTGGAAGATTGGTAATGCCTCGGTGTTCTACAGAGCGATTTAGAAGGTCTTTTACTCCGAATGCAGTTAGGTTGTTTAATGAAATTGTGTAATTTCTTGTATTGATTGTTGCTGTTTTTTTAATGTTTATTTGTTTGTGGTGTCTGTAATGTGCAATGGTGGCGAATGATAGCCTGGATGCCAGCCCGAACCCCGCCCACAACATTTTTTGGTCGGGAAGTTCGGTCTGGACTCGCTCCATTGAGGAGTAATTATGATCGGTTCAGAATTAGTCGGGCCAATCAAATTGCCAGGGTGGGCTTTATACGATGATGGACAGATGATCTGCAGTTATGTAATCATCACGTTATCAAAGAGCGCTTGGGTTGAACTGGTTTCCCTCAGAGATCACTGCAGCTGGAGAACTGAGATGTAGAGATTACGCTATCGCGTCTGTTGTAAAAGAAATCGACAGTGCATTCATTTTAAAAGACGAACAAAGAACTGCAATCAAGGCATTTGTCGATCGGAAAGATGTTTGCCGTCCTTCCTACGGGATTCGGCAAAAGTTTATTTTATCAGCTGGCTCCGATGGTCGCTAAGAAGATGGGACGCAATGAAAACCCTGTGGTCGTTGTGGTTTCTCCTTTGGTCGCACTCAAGGAGGACCAAGTAAAAGAAGCAACACTCATTATTTTACTACTTCTTCCAGCGTGCGTGTAGTTGAGTTCTGTTGCGTATAAAAATAAACTTTACGTAGCTCATAAAAAACTCACTTGCTGCATTGCTCTGATTGGTTGTAGGTCTATCCAATTGAGTGCAGAGTTTTTTTTCTTCTTGGTTCGTTTAAGACACGCCTCATAATCAAAGTCCTCTGACTAGAATATGAGTATGACGAAGTCAGGCTAGGCGAATGAGTTTCCCCTTACAGGGATTAATAAAGTTTTCTTACTTAACTCTTACTTATGTACTCGTTACATCATAAGAAGAATGGCATCTACGCTAATTTTAGTGTCTTTGTTTGTCCCGAGGTTTTCCCGCAGCCTGCCGGATCCAGGCCGTATCCAGATCTGACGAAGGAGCTTCGCCTGGACCCGATGACAATGCAGTGCTGAAGTGTCAACTATCCTCTCCCTATGGAGGATCCCTTTCCCACTCTACAGATAACATTATTCAAGAACCGCTATAAAGCCAAAACAATCTCTGTTACCTTAAATTATATGTTTATCTCTGTAAAGCTGCTTTGAAACAATCTACATTGTTAAAAGCGCTATATAAATGAAGATGACTTGACTTGACTTGACATGTGTCAACTGCATGTCCATTCAGGTGCAGAAGTGAAATCCTGTGGTCATTCATCCTGTATCCAGGTGTGTGTGTGCCATTCAGGTTGAGTGGATTGGCACACACTGCAGAAGGATGATGGATGGAGAAGTAGATATTGTCCTTTAGCACTCTTGAACCAAATTTGTTTGGGTGGTGGCCATCCTGTTGAAACAGTTGCCTCTGACTCCAGAAAAGATTGAAGTTGTCAATGAAGTTTACTCCCTTTATATTGCAGGTTTTTTGCAGCCATGTATTAAGCCCAAGCAACCGTGAAAACCTGTTTGTTCCTCTTGCTGGGAGTGGTCCACTGATGAATGTTTGAACTTACAGTCTTTTATATAGCATAATGATCACTGAGATATACTGTGTTTCAGGCACCAGTGAAGTGGATGATGATCATGTGTTCATCAGTTCTGGTGAAAATGTCTCTATGGCCTGTAATAATGCTCTTTCTGACTGCACATCAACTACATGGATCTACTATAACAGTCATTTACCAGTAGTTGTACTGATTACTGGAGGGATAAAGAATAAAGACACAGAGAGACATGAGAGACTGAGTCTGGAGTCTGACTGCTCTCTGAACATCAAGAACGTCACAGAAGAAGATTATGGATCTTACATCTGCCAACAAAATGTGAATGGACAGAAACATGGAACTGATGCACGTGTTTATCTGCATGTTCTTCATGGTAAGTTTATCTTTATCTGGTCAATTTAAAAACTCAGATGATGATTGAAGAGTCTGTGATTTGTGTCTTGTATTCAGTTTCAGTGTCTCCATCATCATCATCATCATCCTCCTCATCATCATCATCATCTTCAGAGACTGAGATCAGTCCAGGCCGCTCTGTGACTCTCTCCTGTCAGTTGTATTCATATACTGGATTCTCCTGTGATGATTGGGTTCGTTATGAGGCATTTGAGCTGTTGTGGGTGAATCAAGCTGGTGTTGATGTGAAGACAAACTCCAGATATCAGATATTATTATCATCAGATCACTGTATCATCACTCTGACTACAACACTCCTGAATGAAGATGACAACAGAGAGTGGAGATGTCAGCTTACTCACAGAAATCAACTCAAGACCTCAGTCACATACACTGTCAAGTATTCAGGTGAGAAAACGCCTCAGGTTACGACTGTAACCTATGTTCCCTGAGAACAGGGAACGAGACACTGCGTCAAAGCGCTGGGGGGAACGCCTCAGTGTGACTGATGACTGAAACACTGTATAATCACGACAATCATATTGGCTGGCGTCAGCCATGACGTCATGCTCTAGCGCGACCAGGAAGTATAAAAGGGCACCTAGAGAACATGTCATCCACTTCTTCGTCTGAAGGGGCTGTACAAGCAGACCGGAGGCATGGCGACGAGACGTAGTGTCTTGTTCCCCGTTCTAAGGAAATATAGGTTACAGTCTTAACCTGAGACGTTACCTTTCGAAAGGGAACTCGCACTGCGTCAGAGCGCTAGGGGAACAAAATACCCATGCTGCCATGCTGAGGGGATGATTTAGCAACTATGGCTGTACAAGCACAACACATTAACTCAAAGTTAAAGCCCCTTTCTGCTTACACGTCAGGCTAAAAGTAGCACTACTCCCTACAGACACTGCCCGAGCTCCAGCTCAAAGGCATGGATACCACAGCCCGATTTTCAGAGGGGGGTTCCTTTAAGGGAGCATGACCCAGACCCTATAAGTTAAGATAAGATAAGATAAGATAATGCCTTTATTTGTCGCATTTGTCTATTTCAAGAGGAAAAATACAGCATGACACGAGGAGAGGTGAGGAGAAAAAAGGCAACCCCCAGACTACGCTCCTATTAGGAGTACAGTGTGGGAACAGGAAAAAAAACACCTCAGCAACATTAGCACACAATCAGTACACTCTACATGAACAAGACTTGCAACAAGGGTGGGGAGTGGGGGACGTAAGTACACATTGATGGCCTAAGACACGAAACGAGCGGTTTGTGTGAGAAAATGAACAGTATTTATATCGTTTTTACCTCTTGTAACCACAGCCACATCCAAGTGATCTGAGGTCGCCGGCGCTACGGTCTGCGCAAGCGCCGGAAAGCGCCGGAAGTGATCTCTCGCGCGTGTACGTCACTCATTGTTTACACAGAGATTTCGGAAGTGTTACCTTTCACCAGGGGCGGACTGGCCATCTGTGTGATCTGGAGAATCACAGAACGGCCGGTACTCCAGGACGGCCGGTGGGCCGTCCCACCACCCGCCACACGCGCAGTCACAGACATCCCAAGTCTCCCGGAAAGTTCCGGGAGTCTCCCGCATATTGATAGCGCCTCCCTGATGCCCGCAAATTAGTTAAAATCTCCCGGAATCTAGAGCGAGCAAGAGCGTGCATGCGTAGCGCGCGCACGGCAGAGAGAGGGAGCGAGCTAGAGACCTTGCGTGTGTGTGCTAGTGTGCGCGTGTGCCTCACAAAGCGCATGTAAGGACCCAACCAGAGGCGGACAGAGTACAGAGCTTTGTTACCTGAGTAAAAGTACAGATACCCCTTGCTAAATTTTACTCAAGTACAAGTAAAAGTACTACATTCAGATGTCTACTTAAGTAAAAAGTACTAAAGTACTTGTTTTTAAAAGTACTTGAGTATCAAGAGTACAAGAGTAGATTTTCTAAATATTGCATTACTAATCTACTGCCACAGTGCTTACATTTATGCACAGAAACGTCCTACATGGAGAAAAATGTTAATGTTAATACCTTGGAGAATGTAAAAGGATTTGAAAGTAAAATCAAGTCATTTTCATCTTTTTACCATGTTGCTTTATTTAATTTAATTACATTTTTGGGGGGTCCCATCTTTAAATGCGGGGACAACACACACACACACACACACCACATGTAAGGGTGGCGCTGCCAATAAAGCACCTAAAAGCTGTCACAAAGAACCGGCAAAAGGAATGATTATGAATATGTAAAATATAGCAAGGAGATATTTTAATTGTTTATTAATAAACACTTGTTAATAAACAAGTGTTTTCTTTGTCAGTGTCGGCTAGATGAAGTTGACGATGCTGACTCGCGATCTTCAGTAGTGAACGCGCCAGAGAGAAATGCACATTTCATACAGATTACATAAGCAGAGAGCAGTCTGTAGTCTGTTTTCTTTCGTTTTGAATTTTTCTGTTTAAAAGTAGACATGTCTGTGAGAGGCAAGTAGGCTACCTTATACGCTGAGTTTCGGTTCATTTATGAGACGAGATCCAGTTCACATGCCGGCGCCTCCGTTTCTTATCTATCGTCTGCTATTTACTTCTTATTTATTAAACCCAGGCAATTGGTTGATGAAACATTGATTAAAATTAAGATACAATTAATGCAAAACGAAATTCAGGTTAAAGAAAGGTTTTGTGTTTTCTGTTTGATGTCTCTGTGAAAGTTTTAAAGCATTTTTTATGCCGCTTTCAGAGCGCTCACGTCCAGAACAGAGAACACGTCCATAACATTGTTTTTTCCTCATAAATGCAAACCCGAAAAATAAAATAAAACAAAATTAATATTTTATGTACTGTGGAGACTGAGCGCCAACCCTTCTTCATTCGCTGGGTAGTAGCCTACTTTGGTTTGCGCAGTGTAATTCACATAATCAGTAAAAATATATTTTGCCTCCTAAAGTTTTTTTTTTTTTTTTTTTTTTAAGAAATCAGAAATCCCTCGTGGCTACGCCACTGCCACATTTGAACCTGACTGTGTTAAACACACCACATACTCAAGAACATCAAACCAAATGCTTGGCTTACATTAATGTGTAATATAAAATCTGACCATGGAGTTGACTTTGGCAGAAAGCTGAAAGTGATTGCTGATAGGCTGTCCCAATCAGTGGCGCCTGCACAATCCAATCACGTTTGAGAGGGAAACAACAAATTGAGGGTTTCTGAGATTTTTCTTTTTTTTTAACATTTTTTTTTTTTACTCGGGTACTCACGGTTATGGATAGAAATGTATTGGAGTAAAGAGTACAATATTTGCCTCTCAAATGTACTGGAGTAAAGTCATGAGTACTCCCCAAAAATGATACTCGAGTAAAGTACAGATCACTCAAAATTGTACTTAAGTACTGTACTCGAGTAAATGTACTCCGTTACTGTCCGGCTCTGGACCCAACCAAATAATTGTCAGTGCGGGCGGGCTTTTATCTCTACTACTCCCGAACCGAATTAATCAGAAATTACTTTGCAAGTTACTTGCTAGGGATGATGTTAGGAAGTGATATTCAGCTTGCTACATTTTTAATGATTACAGTTAAAACAGCTCAACTTCAACATTTTAGCTGTAAAACGCCACATGCAGTAGCTAATATTAAGAAATATGTTGTGCTTTTACTAAAAATGTTGGTAACGTTACAGTTAATGCTTACAAACTTTGAAGATTTTGAATACAGTAGTTACATTATTAATGGTGTAGCCTATTTTCATTTAGATGTGGTATTATTGTTTGTGCAGTAGCTAAGATTAATTAGCCTACTGCATAAATTAATTAAGATTATTAAGTAATAAATTAATTTTAAGACAGCATGGAATAGATTGTATACTGTTAGCTATCATTTGGATGATAGTATCATGAGCCACAATTAAAGTCTTGTGACACTCATGCCAGGCAGCAGGCGTTATTGTTGTTGTTGTCGAGTTTCCGCACGCCGATTGCTTTGGGTCGGGCCTAGTCAAAGTCCAGGGCCGTTTTTTAGTCCCAGTCCGTCCCTGCCTTTCACTGTGAAGATCTAAACATATTTAGATATACAGGAAATCGCAATGGAAGACGATTTCGATATATCAACAGACAACGTTGAATTTTACATGTACATGCGCTAGAGATCACTTCCGGCGCTTGCGCAGACCGAAGCGCCCACGCCCTCAGATCACTTGGACGGGGCTGTGGTTACAAGAGGTAAAAACAATATAAATACTGTTTGTTTTCTCACACAAACCGCTCGTTTCGTGTCTTAGGCCATCAATGTGTACTTACATTTACGAGTCATTAAATCATGTTTAATTTGGACTTCTCTGTGCATGCTCTTTGAGGTGGTGACCATAGACCTGCATTATATGACTGACAGACAAGAACGGTTTGACCTAAAAATATCAAAATTGAAACTACTACGGAAACAAAGACACATACATCTTGGATGCCCTTGAGGTAAGCTAAAACATACCAAAAATTAATTTCAAAGTGAACTATCCCTTTAAGCAATATTTTAATAAGGTAGTCTAATATTTTTCTCACTAACAAATTACTGACAAAGTAGGGTAGATTTAAATAAAGAAGCGGCGCGCCTCACGCTAGCAGGGCTTATATGCTCCGAGAATGGACACTGCACTAGTGATATAAAACAAACACACACACACACACACGGGTCTTTTAACTTAAGCAATATTTTTAATAAGGTATAGTCTTATAATATTTTTTTCACTGACAAAGTAGGGTAGATTTAAATAAATAAAAACAAATTTAAATAAATAAAAACGAAAATTAAATAAATAAAAACGAAATTTAAATTCAATAAAAACGAAATTTAAATTAATAAAAACGATAATAATAAAAAACTAATAATTTAAATATAGAAAAACTAAATTTAATTGAATTGAATTGAATTGAAAGCCTTTATTGTCATTGTACACAGTACAATGAGATTTGGAGAGCAGCTCTCTAAAAGTGCACACATGAATAACACATACATACATGTACAATACATTAGTGCAAGTCTGAGTGTAGGTTGAGTATGGTGACAGCTTTGGGGAAGAAGCTATCCCTGAGTCTGTTGGTTCTGGCCCGTATTGACCTGAAGCGCCTGCCTGAGGGCAACAGGTTAAAGAGATGGGAGCCGGGGTGGGTGGTGTTCCTCAGGATGTTTCTGGCCCTGCTGAGACATCGGGAGTTGTAGATGGCAGTCAAAGAGGGCAGAGGGCAGCTGATTATTTTTTGTGCAGTGTTTGTCACCCTCTGCAGTCGCTTCCTGTCGGCCTCCGTGCAGCTGGAGTGCCACACTGTCACAGCATAGGTCAACAGGCTCTCGATGGTGGAACGATAGAAGGTCACCAGCAGCTGAGTTTTTAGTTGTTCCTTCCTGAGGACCCTCAGGAAGTGTAGCCGCTGCTGGGCCTTCTTGACCAGAGCTGTGGTGTTGGCCGACCAGGAGAGGTCTGCAGAGATGTAGATGCCGAGGAATTTGAAGGACTCCACTCGCTCTACACATCCACCGTTAACGTACAGCGAGGCAGGTGCGGCTTTGTTCCGCCTGAAATCCAGGATGAGTTCCTTGGTCTTGTTGATGTTTAGTGCCAGGTTGTTTGATGCACACCACTCGCTAAATTTCAGGACCTCATCTCTGTAGGCCGCCTCGTTTCCCCCTGTAATCAGCCCCACCACCGTTGTATCATCAGCGAACTTGATGATGATGTTCTCTGGGTGGGCGGGACTGCAGTCGGATGTGTAGAGGGAGTAGAGTAATGGGCTCAGCACGCAGCCCTGTGGAGAGCCAGTGCTGAGAGTGCGAGAAGAAGAGAGGTGAGGACCCAGTTTCACCTGCTGGGGTCGGTTGACCAAAAAGTTCTTTATCCAGGAGCAGGTTTGTGGTGGCACCCCCAGGTTGGTTAGCTTGGGGATCAGAATGTCCGGTATTATTGTGTTAAAAGCTGAGCTGAAGTCAACGAAGAGCATCCTGACGTAGCTCC